AATGCCTCCCAAAAATGTACCGGTTGGAATTGCTGGGTGAGTGAGGAGAGACGTCTGATATCCACATTACCGTCATCACTGTAATCACCGTCCTCACCGTCCTCACTGTCATCACTGTAATCACCGTCATCACCGTCATCACCGTCATCACCGTCATCACCGTCATCACCGTCATCACCGTCATCACTGTCGTCACCGTCGTCACCGACGACGACGGTGACGACGACGACGGTGACGATGACGGTGACGACGACGGTGATGGTGTCGACGATGACGACGACGACGATGACGACGACGACGGTGACGACGTCGATGATGTCGTCACCGTCCTCACTGTCATCACTGTAATCACTGTCATCACTGTCCTCACTGTAATCACTGTCTTCACTGTCCTCACTGTCCTCACTGTCATCACTGTAATCACTGTCATCACTGTCCTCACCGTCCTCACTGTCATCACTGTCCTCACTGTCATCACTGTAATCACTGTCATCACTGTCATCACTGTCCTCACTGTCTTCACTGTCCTCACTGTCCTCACTGTCATTACCGTCTTCACTGTCTTCACTGTAATCACTGTCTTCACTGTCCTCACCGTCCTCACTGTCATCACTGTAATCACTGTCATCACTGTCCTCACTGTAATCACTGTCTTCACTGTCCTCACTGTCCTCACCGTCCTCACTGTCATCACTGTAATCACTGTCATCACTGTCCTCACCATCCTCACTGTCATCACTGTCCTCACTGTCCTCACTGTCATCACTGTAATCACTGTCTTCACTGTAATCACTGTCTTCACTGTCCTCACTGTCCTCACTGTCATTACCGTCTTCACTGTCTTCACTGTAATCACTGTCTTCACTGTCCTCACTGTCCTCACTGTCATTACCGTCTTCACTGTCTTCACTGTCCTCACTGTCATCACTGTCATCACTGTCATCACTGTAATCACTGTCCTCACTGTCATCACTGTAATCACTGTCCTCACTGTCATCAGAATATTCTTCAGTGTCCGCTTCCTCCTCTTCGTCTTCTTCCTCGGAGGACAAGGGCCCGTATCCAGAATCTTCGGATGTCCAGTCTTCCTCTTCATCCTCTTCATCCTCCTCTTCCTCATCAGGAGCGTTGTTGACAGGGAGATTACCTTCATCGCCTGCAGGACGCTCCATGACGGAGTTCTCAGAGCTTGGTGGGGGGCGGGAATTCAGAGTGTAAGTGTAGTCCTCAGCCCTGCACGCCTCTTCCCAGGTCCTCTTGGTGGAGAAGCCGAGGCCTGATGTCGATGGAGGGGCTGAGGATGGAGCTGCTTCTGGACGTTCCACTTGTGGCGCAGAATCATCCGGAGGGGCAACACCAAAAGGGCGAAATGTCTGCCAAAAACCCACAGGTGGGCGCTGCGTGACAAGAAGGGGCACCATGGGGTAGCAGAGGCCTAAGGTGGAGGGTGCCGAGTCGCTGGAGTCATCTTCCCTGATCCTCTTCGTGGAGAAGACGAGGCCTGCTGTTGTTGGAGTGAACACTCCTGACCTTGGAGGGGCTGAGGGTGGAGCTTCTTCAGGACGTTCCTGTTGCGGTGAAGAAACCTCCAGAGGGGCAACACCCAAAAGGAAGGAACAGGGATGTCCAGGAGGGAAGCTTGGAATGAAGTTCTGACGCAATGCCTCCCAAACATTTAGCGGCGGGAATTGCTGGCTGAGAGGCGAGAGACATGCGATATCGGCATAACCGTCATCACTGTCATTACAATAATCTTCAGTGTCCTCTTTCTCCTCTTCATCTTCTTCCTCAGAGGACAAGGACTCACTGTCATTACAATAATCTTCAGTGTCCTCTTTCTCCTCTTCATCTTCTTCCTCGGAGGACAAGGACTCACTGTCATTACAATAATCTTCAGTGTCTTCCCCCTCATCCTCTTCCTCCTCCTCTTCCAAATCCTCTTCCTCCTCTTCTTCCAACAGTCCATGACATCCACCTAAAAAAACAAACTCACCTTCATCCTCGACAGTGTTCCTGACCTCACCTACCTCTTCCTCATCAGGAATGTTGTAGACAGGGAGATTACCTTCATCGCCTGCAGGACAATCCATGATGAAGTTCTCAGAGCCTGGGGGGGAATTCAGAGTGTAAGGATTTCTAGTCAAAGGTAATATTTGGAATAGTTTAATCACTTATTGGAAAGAAATGGCACATGCATAACCTAGCCTATAACTTTAATTTAAAAGACATGACAGGAGAACCTGCGGTGAGAATAACACTGGGGATCATAAATTATATTATTTTTCTGATAAACAGTGATGACAATTAAAATACTAATTTGGATTTTTGTTATTGGCAATATTATTTTCGTTATTTTTACATCTCTAAACTGTTTTTTTTTTTTGTAAAACTGAATGAAGTGCATGTAAACAGCGCTCTATATGTGTCGGACAAGTATAAAGGAGAAGCTTGCTCTCCGCATTTTACGCACAGATTCTTCCGCAGCAGCAAAGCCTTCTTTAAACCAAAATGCAACATTACAAAAAATGTGCAAACAAATAAATGCTGACCGTGGGGAATGCAAGACCCGGATCCCGAGAAAAAACTGAGTAGGCGTGTGGACAAACTATAATTGGTTCCAAAAAACAGCGTGCATTCATTTATAATATAGGCTATGCATTCATATCCATTGCGCAGAGTAACTGCTATAATCTAAAATGACCAGAGTAGTTTTCAGACTTTTCTTTAGTTTATAAATCATTATTTTCCTATAGCCTAGGCCTAGTTTATAGTTAGTCAGCTTGGACGCAGAACGCGCACACATCTTCCTCCCCTCAAAAACTAAACAAGAAAAGCAATTTCAATATTTAATGTTAAAAGGAAAGTTGAATTAATATGATAGGCTACATTAGAAGGAGTAGCCATTTACAATAAATAAAGCTTCAACAATCAGAACGACACTCAGGGAGGCAGCCGCACAGAAGAACGTGCCCTGCAGGGAATTGTGCATCGTTGCCATGGTGCATAACTTGGCCCTAATTTTTTGCATTCTATGAAATTAGGCCCAGTCGCCATTTTGTTTTTGTAATGTTTTGGTCGTTTTTCGACGATATCTTGCAATTAAATAAAAAATAACTGTGTTTTAAAATCACTACACTCTTTATAAATACATTAAACACCTCTAGTGTTAAAAAAAAGCAGGTCTTATCCACAAATATGAATTTTAAACTGAAAAGACGTGAGTGAGTTTCTGCTTTCTCCAAATTGCATTTTGAGCAAAATAAATCCCAACATTCTATGAACTTTTCACCTTTAAACTAAACCAATCGCATTAATTTCCACACATAAACAGCTTTGTATGGTTTTAAGGGGATATATGAACAATTAAAAGGCTTAAAATATGTTTTGTAAACGTCTCTTTTTTTTTTTTTACTTTGAGTGTAGTTTCCCAACACGGCCTATTGCCAGCGGCAGGTGCTGCTCCTCCTCTGGGGGCCGGGGGTCTTGTTCAGCGTCTCCGGGTTTCCACAGCAGATTTGATAGTATTGTTTTTCAGAAGTTTTGTTTTCCAGCAGGTTGAATCTCAAAGAGTTTTCTCTCCACAGGTGAGTTTTGCAAAAGGTGTGCTCTGGTCAGAGTCCAAGTGCAAAGTGAGATCAGAGCGGTCAGCAGCTGCAGCCCCAACGTTCGGTTTCCATGACTATGACGCACGTACGTGAGCTAGAGAGGCCTTTTACCAAATCTCATAGTTGTTAAATATTGATTGTTAAATTAAAAGCTACTAGGATTTATTTTGTCCATGTAGCAGTAACTTTCAGTGCAGTACTTTATTTTCCTTGTAATAGTAGCCTAGCCGACAGCAGCTTCATCCCGTGTTTTATTTTTCTCTCTATGTTGCTCCTTTTTGTTTGTTTCTACCGCTTTCGTTAATTTTGGAAACGAATCAAATCTCTAATAATCTCAGTTTGTGTGGGATTGCCTTTTTTTTCTTCTGAATATTTCACTTAGGCTACTTACCAACCCGTTTCTGCAGTACAACACATCTGAAGTTGAATTGAACAGATGATTTAGGCCTAAATACAATAGGCTATGTTTCGTATGATGTGCAATATATATATTATTCTTTTATTAATCTCTAGCTTCATTATACATTTCTTAAAATGACTAGTCATGCTGGTTTAACCAAGCTGCTTAACGGGTTACTCTCAGTAAATCAATGGGAGGTAAAACACAAAGGAAACTATTGCAGGAATAACCTACCTGTAATTTGAGACATAGCCTACAACGTAACTAAGTACTTTTACTCTACCTACAGATTAAAAGTACTTGTATTTTACTTAGGTGCATAATATTTCGTACAAAAAACATTATATTGTATTCTGCACACTTGTCCCCCTGCATTATGTTCTTTGATGCCATAGCCCATGGATTCACCTCAGCCATCAAAAAATGATGTATTACTGCCATCTATTGAGCATTTACTGACATTTCAAGCCAACATGAGAAGTTCTTAAAACGACCCTGCTGAACGTGCTAAAGTGAGATTTTTCTTTATAATTTGCTGGTCATGCTAATTCGCTGTTTAATTCAACAAAAGATAATCTCTAACATTTTCGAATATATTTTATTGCCAAAGGAATGCAATGAAAATGTTGAAGGAAAACAAACTTGTGTTTATCAGACAAACAATAATTACTGAGGATAATTATAATACTCGTCATTGTGTGCTGTTTGCTCGGGGTTGTAAGATTATTTGTCTCTGTAAGACATGATTGGGTAATATTGGTAACATTATATGTATTTACTTTCCTTCATCCGCTACCCAAATAGTATTGTAGCTCTAAAAAGGCATACTCCAGCCTTCAGTGAAGTTATGTTTTAGGTTCTCAAAGCCAAGTAGAAATTGAGCTTGTTAAAGAGATGAGTCGACCAGGAGAGATTATATTATTTTGGGAGAAAATGTATCTTGAAAATGTGCAGCATCTCAACAAGCCTAAAAATAAATGCCAACTGCCAAATCAAAAGCTCCACGATTTATTTAAAAATGGATAATGGTGAGAATGTAAAAAGTAATGCACATAGCAAAAATCACACATCACCCATAGTGTAAAATTAATGAATTCCTGGAGTAATAATAGCAGCCATTGCAGAATGATTGGCCACATGTGGATGACTTCATTGATTAAACATAATGCCAGTCAGCCTGGACCCCAAGGTAAAGTTGGAGAAGCTGCTCCAGTCCGGCTTCCAGATTTCCGTTGCCAATCCAGATAACTTGTTGTGATATGGAGTGAAGGCAAGGAGCTTTGGTGAGGCTTCAAACTCAAACTGGAGATTAGGGGTGTGAGGTCTCTAGCTGTTCATAGGACGTGTTACTTCAACATCTTAGTAGCAATTATTTGTTCTTCCCCCAAACCTTTCAACACAATGACCTGAAAAGGGTGGAGAAAATGAAATCAGGGGACTTACATAACTTGCAAATCTAAATACTCTTTAGCTAAACAAAATAAAAAGTGAAACCTTGTTAATATGAAGCGAATGTACTAACTATTATTTGAAAAAGTAATAAATGAGATAAAAAAAATTAAAACAAAAAGACATTTCGGCCACCTCGGTTTTATGTCAAATTAACATGTAGTTTTGGTGAAAATGACTTTGTTAATTGACACAATAACGGAAACATGAATTAAAAGGTGTGATTCTCAACTTTTTACATCTTAACTATGAAGTGGCTGAGAGAAAAATGATACAGTAACTAAGTAAAACTGTTACAGCTTTCTAGCTTATTTCAAGAAAATAATTTAAACTTGAAGATACATGGCAAATCAATCAAACAGTGTTGTCTCTGCATCTCAGTTCACAAACCTTTAAAATACCATGAAAAAAGTCATTATCAGACTAATGAAAAGCTACACCACAAAGCTGAGAATTGACAGGGACAGCTCTGAGATACTGCTAAAGTTTAATTTAATATAATTGAAAATAGCACATTTCTGGACATTTACTAAATATATATATATATAAATCAATAATGTATTGTTTTTGTTATGGAAATAATTATCATAAGACGCCAATTTGTAACATACAGGACAAACCTCGATGTCTGTTTACCTTCTTTAAGGACACAGGCGGCTTAGCCAATAATGTTATTGTTCCCATTCTGTGACCGGTCAATACTGGGATACAGATGGTCTGTGTTGTGGGTACACTGGGACACTTCCTTCTCTGTATTTGTGGACTCCAAGGTAAAATCTTCGAGGTCATAAGTGTCCGAAGCAAGTAGCTCTGTGTTCCCACACTGTTTAGGCTATCTCCTCAAATATGTTGTTTACTCTCTGCGAAACCAGTTAGATGGGCTGGCAAGAGAGAGGCTCTCCAGAATTGACGTGGCAACTCTACCGTGGAGTCAGAACCTCTGACTCTTGGATTTGTGATGTGAATACTCTGGTACCAACTCCAAATAAATCACAGTGGTTTGACATCAAAGCTCCGACTCTTCCCGTGTCTCCTTCCTGAGTCGGTGACTCCACTGCATGCTACACAGAAGTTTCCTCTACAGTTTTTCACAGAGTTCAGCCACTACTAGTATAAATAATGCCAAGAAAAACGTACATAGAATTTATCGTCATTATCAAACTTCGCTTTGATTTCTTTGCCCAAATCATTGTCCGGTAGTTTGAGGTTATCTTTTGCTGCTCCGCCATCATCCATAAATCCCACAAAACCAGATTGGTCATCAATTTGAAGCAGCTAAATGGGCCATCAGGAAAAGAGTAAAAACAGTCTACTGTTAAAAAATTACGATTTTAGATGATGTAATTTTTTTTCCTGAGATATCATATATAACCAGTTAGGAGGGTGGCAAAGGCAACACATAAACAGAATGATAAGTTGAGGACACATAACACTTAGCGGATGTGACTGGGCCTTGTTAGTTGTCCAAACAGAGCAAAAACTTGTGTTCTAATCTGGAGTAAAATACTCTTGACGGAGGTTCATCAGGACGCAAAAGTTAGTGTGAACAATCAATTGGGAGTCTGACCAAACGCTGTGTGTGAGATAACTTATATCACAATAGACCCATTTTGATAAGACATTTGGGAGAATAGACAGACAGACAGACAGACAGACAGACAGACAGACAGACAGACAGACAGACAGACAGACAGACAGACAGACAGATAGACAGACAGATAGATAGACAGATAGATAGATAGATAGATAGATAGATAGATAGATTGATGTGCATCTGGACCCGGTAACGACATTACCTATTGACGCAGCAACCACTGTAAGTTATATTCTTGTTTAATTAGACTTCTCTGTTTCATTTATTCGACTCTGTATAAATTGTTATTGTAGCTTTAACGGCTAAATCGCGTTTGAGAGATTTTAAATCTCAGATCTGCTCAGGCGAAACCTGCTTTACAGGTCTCAGCACTCAAGCCTGCATTAATATAGGCACGGCCAGTCTACTGTCGCCCATCAGCTGTAGATAGTTAACTAATTAGAGGGCCGTGGCCCTACAGCTGTGTGAACTGAGCAATCGCGTCCATTTTTGGGTAGCTCTTTCCTGGAGCGTCAGCTTCAGCGTCAGACAGCCGAAGACTGACAAAGATATTGGAGTCCTGCGGGAATAAGACTGACAAAGACATTGGAGTCCTGCGGGAGTCACGAGGGAGGCAAAGAGGAGGCAAATCCTACTCTGATTGTGCTGGTGTCTTATTTATCTTTTCTTTAGTTTTCTAGCCCCGCATGCTATAATCATATGTATTTTCTCCATTCCTGTTCATGTGTCTTCTCGCAATTATCACTGGCCCCGTGTATCTCCTAATCGATATAACCGGCCTGCTCTCGTCTATCCCACGTGCTCCACTGAGATCCAACATCTAGTTTCAGGTGGCCTGTGGAACTGCCAGTCAGCTGTTCCTAAGGCTGACTTCATCTCTGGCTACGCCTCCCTGCAGTCTCTGGATTTCCTTGCTCTCACTGAGACCTGGATTACTCCATCCAACACATCCACCCCAGCAGCTCTCTCCACTGCATATTCCTTCTCCCATACACCCAGACCCACTGGCAGAGGAGGTGGCACTGGTCTCCTGCTATCTCCCAAATGGAGCTTTTCCCTCTTCAAGCTACCTAACTTCACTCCTTCCACCTTTGAATTCCATGCCGTCACAGTAACCCATCCTATACAGTTAACCATTGTTGTTCTCTACCGTCCACCAGGCGCCTTGGGGGACTTCTTGGAGGAATTAGATAATCTCCTCTCACTCATCCCTGAAACTGGCCCTCCCGCTGTACTTCTCGGAGACTTCAACCTCCAGACGGGGAAGATAGACGAACTAACATCCCTGTTAACCGCCTTTGCTTTCTCACTGTCTCCGTCCCCACCGACTCATAAAGCTGGCAATGTCCTTGATCTCATATTCTCAAGGAACTGCTCTACTTCTAACCTCTCTGTAAACCCGCTCCACACATCCGATCACTTCTTCATTTCATTCTCTCTATCCCTTTCCGAACATAACAAACTAATCTCTTCCCATCCTGCACTTGTCCGCCGTAACCTTCGCTCCCTCTCCCCCCCTACCTTTGCCTCGTCGGTGCTCTCAGCCCTCCCTTCCTCTGATTCGTTCCATCTCCTGCCTCCAAACTCTGCTGCAGAAACTCTCCTCTCTACTCTCTCATCCACTCTGGACTCGCTCTGTCCTCTCACATCTCGGCAGGCTCGTCAGTCCCCTCCTGCTCCCTGGCTAAATGATGCACTGTGTGCTAATAGAACCGTCCTTAGGGCAGCAGAGCGGAAACGGTGGAAATCCAAACACCGTGACGACCTCCTAACCTATCAAGCTCTCCTCTCCTCTTTCTCTGCTTCGATCTCTCAGGCAAAAAGCACTTTCTTTCAAGATAAGATCCAATCTTCCTATTCCAATCCTAAAAAACTATTTTCCATCTTCTCCACCCTCTTGGACCCTCCAAAAGCTCCTCCCCCCTCCTCACTTCTGTCAAGCGACTTTGTTACCCACTTTGAAAAAAAGGTTGATGATATTCGCTCTTCTTTTTCTGACTCACCTTTATTCACCGCTGGGTCACCAGACCCTCCTTCCACCAACACACTTACCTCCTTTTCCCCTCTCTCTCCAAGTGAGGTTCTTACCCTCATTACTTCTGCCCGCCCTACCACCTGTCCTCTGGACCCTATCCCTTCAAACCTCCTTCAGACTATCGCTCCTGATATTCTACCGTTTCTCACCCATTTCATCAACACTTCTCTAACTTCTGGTCACTTTCCAAACAGTCTCAAGGAGGCAAGAGTAAACCCTCTCCTAAAGAAACCCACTCTCAACCCGTCTGATGTTATAAACTACAGGCCTGTCTCTCTCCTCCCGTTCCTGTCTAAAACACTTGAACGCGCTGTCTTTAAACAACTCTCCTGTTATCTCAATCAGAACAACCTTCTGGATCCGCACCAGTCTGGTTTCAAGGCAGGTCACTCCACAGAAACTGCTCTCATTGCTGTCACGGAGGAACTGCACACTGCCAAAACTGCATCCCTCTCCTCTGTCATCATCCTATTGGACCTGTCTGCCGCATTCGACACGGTGAATCATCAGATCCTCCTTCGCACTCTCCAAAAACTTGGAGTTTCAGGCTCTGCACTTTCCCTCCTCACCTCATACCTGAAAGACCGTACCTACAGGGTGACTTGGAGAGGGTCTGAGTCCGACCCTTGTCAATTAACTACGGTTGTCCCTCAGGGCTCTGTTCTTGGTCCCCTCCTCTTCTCCGTGTACATAAACTCGCTCGGATCAGTCATTAGCCCGCATGGTTTTTCTTACCACTGCTACGCTGATGACACCCAATTAATTCTGTCCTTTCCCCGCTCAGAGACCCAGGTCGTTGCACGCATCTCTGCTTGTCTAGCTGACATCTCTCAGTGGATGTCTGCTCACCACCTCAAGCTCAACCTTGACAAGACTGAGCTGCTCTTCCTCCCGGGAAAAGATTGTCCCACTCTTGACCTAACAATCAACATCGGCACCTCAGTTGTTTCCCCGACTCAGACTGCAAGGAATCTGGGTGTGACCCTAGATAACAACCTGTCCTTCACTGCAAACATCGCTGCTACAACCCGTTGCTGCAGATACACGCTTTACAACATCAGGAAGATACGTCCCCAGCTGACTCAGAAAGCGACTCAGGTTCTGGTCCAGGCTCTCGTCATCTCACGCCTAGACTACTGCAACTCCCTCCTGGCTGGTCTACCTGCATGTGCCATCCGACCTCTGCAGCTCATCCAGAATGCAGCGGCTCGTCTGGTCTTCAACCTTCCTAAATTCTCCCACACCACTCCGCTCCTCCGCTCGCTTCACTGGCTTCCGGTAACTGCTAGAATCCACTTCAAGACACTGGTACTTGCTTACCATGCAGCGAATGGATCTGGCCCTTCCTACATCCAGGACATGGTTAAACCGTACACCCCAGCGCGTGCACTACGCTCTGCATCAGCCAAACGACTCGTTGCGCCCTCGCTGCGAGGGGGACCCAAGTTCCCATCGGCGAAAACACGTGGGTTTGCTGTCCTGGCTCCAAGATGGTGGAATGAGCTCCCCATTGACATCAGGACGGCAGATAGCTTGCACATCTTCTGGCGCAAACTGAAAACTCATCTCTTTCGACTCCACTTCGAGCGTTAGAACTACTAACGAAGCACTTTTATACTAATAAAGGACTGGCTTATCTAAAGCCAGTTGAGTAGCACTTGAAATGTTTGGCTATATGAAACCTGATGTACTTATATGATTCTGTTTTCTTCAAGGTTGTGTCTTCCTGGTCGAATGTACTTATTGTAAGTCGCTTTGGATAAAAGCGTCAGCTAAATGCAATGTAATGTAATGTAATGGATGGATGGATGGATCTGAATCTGGTGTATGCCAAGAACGTTTACATGGTACATACATGACCATTGTCCTGTACATATTTCACAAAATGTGCCAGTGTCTGCACATTATGGGATATGGCATTGAGGGATTGAACACAAAGAAAAGATTAATCAAATCTATTCTAAAATTTACAAGCACCAAATGAAGGGACTTCAGACCAGATGAAATGTGCTTGTGTCGTTTTAGTCAGACAGGAACTGCTGCATTCTGCACAATCTCTAGCTTAATTATACCTTTCTTAAGATGACCCGTCAGGCTGCCTAAACTAAGCTGCTTAAGTACTTTTACTCTAGTACTGCTACGTACAGATTAAAAGTACTTGTATTTTACTTAGGTGCATAGATATGTTGTACACAAAACATTGTATTGTATTCTGCACACTTGTCCCCCTGCATTATGTTCTTTGATGCCATAGCCCATATGATGCATTACTGACATCTATTGAGCATCTACATTTCAAGCCAGCATAGATGAGAAGTTCTTAAAATGACCCTGCTGAACGTGCAAAAGTGAGAGACTTGAAACAGGCTGTTGATGTTGTCTAATGGATTTGTATTGTTATTGTTGCTCATGTGAACCGTGATTGTATTCAGGGATTTGCAGACTGCAGGCCACTATTTTTTGACACACCTTGGCTAAGTTGCGGGAACATAAGTGCTGAATGCTCATGTCAGCTTTGTATGCTACCATGTGATTTATGAATTCTTGTTTGTAACATTCCCTGCTGGACTGTGTGAATTGTTTCAAGATCTTTTCTGAGTGCTGTTCCCACTGCCCGTGGGAAGACTGTTTCTCTGTCCTGTGTTTTGCATCACTCTGCTTCCCTCTGCTGGTGAAATAATTCAGTTTATGGCTCTTTCTAGTTAGTTAAAAGTTATTATGGTACTTTAAAATCAACATGTAGGATTTAGAAGCATTATACAAAGATTAAATGAAGTTTAATGGAGGCTTGTGTACAACAAATATAAATTAAATACAGATAGAATAGCCTACAGAGTAGTATAATATGTCTAGTATAAAAGTATTTGTTAGGAGAAGTTGTAATTGCCACCAGATACTGAGCTACAGCATTGTAATGTGTAACTTTTTGTATTAAAGGTTTATATAGTGCTTATAGAGCTACATTGTTTTTTTTAATTAAGTTTTCAGAATAAAAGGGGAACAAGTCCTTTCCTTTCTTTTAGTTAAGAAGTGAAAGAAGTTGTGTGGTTTAATAAAATAAAAATGGCTTCTTGGTTCTTTTCAGCTTAGTGCCTAATTTACTGCACCCAAATAATTGTTCATATTGATTTTCAGCACTATTGTCGTTTAAAGCTGAATTTCAGAGTGCAGAATGCCTTTACTTTGATATTACATTTAACTTTTTCTAACTGTTAGTCCTGGTTGTAACAGCAGCTGCTGTTGATATTGATACAGAAACTGAGTTTGTCTAAATTGTCATGTTATTTGGCACAAATTCCTTTGTTAAGCTGACTACTCTCCTGTATGACAAAGATGATTATTGATTCATCCTTCTTTAATTTCTCTGTCTGTGTTCTGAGTTTTCAGTCCTGGAGTCTCACTTGGTTTAAAAATGTACAACATGATAACAATCACTGGCCTACTATAGAAAAACAACAAGAGCAACAAACATACAACTATTTAAGAGAAGCATGCTATTTTAAAACAATAATTTATATTTTGATAAAAATGCATATTCCATATTTGAGATAAACTATTTAGAAAAAGGGCCAGCAAACAGTTTTTTCAGGTGATTGATTAGCAAATAAAGTGTGTAAGCTGAGAATGTCTTTATGGTTGTAATGTATCTTTACGTAGCAAAACATACCCAATACATGCATTTACACACTATCTTTCTATCTAAAGCTCAAACTAATATTGTTTTTATTTAGTGTTTAATTGTTAATGTTTGATTTTTTTGCATTCATTTCTAAGGTAAAGTGTAAATTGTGCCACAAATTAATAGGCTACACAGAAAGCGCGGTCACGTTACGTGGTGAGGTTTCGAGCACGTACATTTTGCGTGCGCGCCAAAACCAATGTTGCCTTCAGGTGCTCCTACAAAGCTCAAACTTTAGAGGCCAAGATGCCAAATGAAGTATCTAGATTAAAAACAATTCCCCAAGGAATGACATAATAATTTGAATGTATAAATCATTCTTAATAGTAAGATATTTTTGACATTACTTTAATGTTTACATTGTGTTGTTCTTCTCATTCATGCAGATGAAGTGGTCTGCAATTCATTTTGAATATATATTTTTTCATTTGAATACAGTTGTTATTCAGGGTTAACATACTAAGAGCAGGAGTCCAATCTCTCCAATGCACCCCACCTCTAAAATATGTTTCTGTTAATCTATTCAGTTAATTGTCAGATTATATTTGTTGTAAATTAAATGTTACAACATTGAGGTCTAAATATAAAATAGTCGAGTATAAAGACTTGGGTTTTAGGCTTATATTCTTATTATTCAATGAAATATTTCGAGATAATGAGATATGAGATAATTTAGTTTAGGATTGTTTTAATTGATTAATGTATGTAATAGTATATGGGTGTATTATAATTTGTTAAACAAAGAAAGGTTCGAAATATCAAGGTAAGGTAAATATCCAAAAGAAGAAGAAAATATTCAATAGCAGGCTTCTTATTCAATATAAAAAAACAAAATTAGGCATGTAAAAGAAGAATACTAAGATATTAAAAAGTACACAATAAGTTAGAATGAGGTATAAAATATAACAATCATTTACAAAAAAACAACAACAAAAAGAGGTAATTGTGGTAGACAGAGGTACAGTACTTTATTGATGCAATTAAAAGGTTAACCTATAAACCTCTCAAATTCCCAGGAAGAAAATTGAAATTGGACATTTCCGACAGCACCAGAAGGCACCAGTAAAACGCGCGTTCCCGTATAACTGTCAGGCTGCAGGTCAGGAACCACTCAGATAGCGGGTCATTGGACGCATCCGGACGCTGTTGAATAAGAACCGACCCGTTCGGTGTGTCCGTTATCGTATCAACGAATCAATTAATTACTTTTTCTTTCATTTAAACTACTAGTTGTGGTTTACAAACGGTCCGGGGTTCTCCTTCCATGATGCACGGGTAAGCTAGCTAACGTTAGCCACGGAGCTAACGTCCATGGTCCAGTGTCTGTGCGGGGAGAAAGTAGCGGAGTCTGCGTTCCTTTTTTTAGGGTGGCTGGGGGCGAGTAATTGGGAGTAAACATGGAGAAAAGTAATCGTTTTGTAGAGCTGTACTATTATCTCCAAGACCCCCATCTTGTCGCTCGATTTCAGCGCTTTTGTGGGGTACACGGGACGTTTTCGAAGACCGTCTCTAGCAAGGAAGCAGACCGGACTCAGTCGCACAACAACGGGGCTTGCCATCGTCCCATCACTGGGGGAAATGAGAGTGAAAACATGGCCGGTTTCGGAGGAGCTGGGGAAGGAGAAACAGCAGGACTGGGTGTTCGGAAGAGGGTGAAAAACAGAGGGGAGGAAAGTGAAAATCCTGCCCAGAATGGAGCATCTGTGTCTGCAACAGACTCCGGGGGAGAAACGGTTGCTGTCTGCAATAACGGTCGTAGTCTCCAATGCGCTACAACCATAAGTCACAGCGCTGCACAGCATGTATTTTCAGCGGCAAACGAAGAGAGGGAGACGGGGAAAGATAGTGACGACCCCCTATCTAGCAGCACGGTAAAACCCCTCCGTAAAAACTCTCTAACAGGCGACGTGGGTCAGGAGTTCCTCATCGGGAACCGGTTCCTGTACTACATGTTCACCTTCGCAACCGAGATGGGTAACGAGCTGTTCTACATCATCTTCTTCCCCTTCGTTATGTGGAACATGGACGCCTTAGTGAGCAGGAGGCTGATCATGGTGTGGGTCTGGGTCATGTACCTGGGTCAGTGCACCAAGGATGTGATCGGCTGGTCCCGACCCGCCTCACCACCTGTGGTCAAGGTGGAGATGTTTTACAACTCTGAGTACAGCATGCCGTCCACACACGCCATGTCGGGCACTGCCATCCCCTTCTCCCTGTTCTTCATGACCTACTGCCGGTGGGAGGTACAGTAAATCAATTTTTGATGTGTGTAAAGAGTTATATAATGTGTCAAATGTGAAGGGCGTCTGCAGCAGAGAAGGGGAAGTGTATAGGAACTGATTCTTCCAAAGAAGAAATTTGGCGAAAGTTCCTCATGTGATGTTTCACCATTTCTCTTTATTTGCATATACAGAAACACGAGCGACATAAATACTGCAATCATCTCTACACAGTCACACTTCGTCAGTAAGTGTAGTTCAATGATAGAGCAGCAGAAGAGGCTAGTACCTTAATCATACTTGCATAAAAACACAATAACTAAATTGTCCCATTGGCACTGTTCTAGAAATACACAACAGACAAAACGTTTTTTAGAAATATCCCTCTAAATATATAGTTAGGTCACAGATTAAAGAGTTTAGTCAAGACAAAAGAGGATATAATGAAAAGTACAAACACCACTTGGCACATATTTATTTCAAAAGCATCTAACTACAGTCTCCAAAAGTAAATACAATTGAAACAACATCTCTAAAACAGTTTTACCAGTAACTGGCAATCTGGAAAACAAAAATATTTTGTAAACATAACCCACATTTAAATTGTTGTATTAACCACATTTAAACGAAATACAACACAAAAATTCAGCATATTAGTCTCTTAGTCATTTAAATCCGGAAGTGAGTTAGCATTTTACCACTACCGGTTCCCTCGTCTCAGAGTCAATGGGACTTCTCCATAGGATGTTGGAAAATAGCTCGAAATAAAGTCTGTGGTTGACACACATTTTAAGAGACGGATCACGTTTTGTTCTACAACATTAAATACATCAGCAGTGACCCCACTGGTGATTTTTGAAGAGTTTACGTGTCTGAAAAACGATGGTTGTTGTGTGGCTGAATAGGACGACAGAAGTTGTCGAGGACGTTGTACGTCATTACACCGAACACGTAAACACTCCCGCTAAGTTTGTTTGCCCTGTTCTGCTTGAAAGCAAATACCTGCCTCCTGCAAACTGTTAAAACAAACGCTTCAACTTGTACAATTTTGAATCTGTATGTTTGAATATCGATCTTAAGTTGGCGTGACGTTGAAATTGTGCAACCCTGCTGCACTCGGCTGTAGTTCGGTTATAGCATAAAGTTAGCATTTTGCTTCTGGCGATTAGATTTATGATTATAAAAGTAGGGTAGACATGTGGATATTATCCGGCTGAACAAAACGTGCTGCTCAAACAGGTTCGTTTTCCACAGAGCTTATTTCGAGCTATTTTCCAAAATCTTATAGAGAAATCCCATTGCTTTGTTGTCGAGGGAACCCATGCGCAGCTTATTTCTGGGTAAATACATCATCCCTGCACCACTCTATACTCCCCACATTGCTAGAAGGAAATTGCGTTTCCTCACTGCCTTGCTTAAGGACACAGTAATTTAATTTGGTAATTTGAGCTCAAAACTCGTGTTCAACTTGTACAAATGGACCCCCTGCAATGCTACAACAACACAAGAACACATCTGGTGGCAACTCGTGATACAGGATCACTGAGAGCTTGCCCTCTGAATCACATCATTAAGAATTAATGTGTGGTCGGCCGAGCGGATACAGTGACAGGAGGTAATGGCCTTGGCGGCTGCTCAGATGTGAACATATTTGTTGACTCTTATTGAGTCTTAAATAGTGGTGCACGATAATTATCGGCCCGATAATTATCGGTCCGATATTAGGAATTATGACGTCATCCCGATAAACCCGATAACAGTATTAATAACCCCGATAATATACAATATATTTTTTGGGTAAAAAAAAAGAAAAAATACTGCGGTGTGGGTGGATTGGGATGAGGGGCGCTTGTTTTTCACTCGGCTCCTCCCGTTTTGCCAGTACTGTGGTATTAGTGGTTTAGGAAGAGGGGAGTTCTTCACAAATCCAGCGCTCCCTAACTCATGCCTGGCTGTGACGTAAATGGTGTGCGGCCGTGAAGCCAGGACAGTAAACAAACATGTCGCCGGTAGTATGGGACTATTTCAAAGTTTCAGAGTTAGATAGTTCGCTTGCTATTTGTATTAACAAATGCAATGCAGAAGTTCCACGAGGAGGGAAAAAGGCAACGAGCTATAATACTTCCAACCTGATTTGTCACCTGAAACATCGCCATCGCTACGATGGTGTGTTAAAAGCGTACGAAGACGCCTGCGCTGCTAAACTAGCGGCGAATCCAAAGCCAGCTGCAAAGGCACCGGGGCTTTTACCTATCGACGAGGCTTTTGAAAAAGGCAAGAAGTTTGCCAGAGACGACCCCAGGGCTAAAACGATCTCTAACTTCATTATAGAAATGATGGCGCTTGACGAGAGTCAAAACTGTTCTTGGCTTTGTTTTGTTCATAGTAGTAATGCTCATGTCATTTGCTCACTACTAGTCTTTTTTTTACCACCAGGTGTGCAAAAACTACAGGTACATTTAATATATATTATATTATTATCGGTATCGGTCTTGAGAAGCAGGAAGTTATCGGTATCGGTTTCAAAAAACCAATATCGTGCATCCCTAGTCTTAAATGCTTGTAGAACAGCGACATCAAGCTCATTGTTGGTACAACGAGACTAAAAGCCAAACTATGACGCCAAAATGCTAATTACAAAGAAGGAAAGCATGTTTTTATGTAAACAAATGTAGAGACCGGATAAACAGAGATTTTAACAATTTTAATTATAAAGTAAATTAATCAAGTCATATTTTAGATTTTTTGTTTTAACGTTAATTGGTCCTAGCTTCTCAAATGTAAATACTTAGTGTTTTTATTATAGAATAAGATCATAAATAGACATAAAGGTAAAAACAAAGACAACAACATTGAACTATTATGTACAGATATAATGTGCCTGTTGCATTATGGATATGAGTATACATACACATTGTACTTGGATTGATATTTAAAAAGCACACTAATTATATTTTGTAGTTTTTGTCAGTCAATCAAGCCATTTGGGTTGTCGTGGTGGATATTGTTTACTACTTTCTGACATTTTATAGGAGAACAAATATTATTTAGCCAAATGTTGATGCCATTTTGCCTGAATGTTGTGGTGGCATTAAGCATGTTAACAGCTCAGAAAGTAATGCTTATCCTTCTAACATGTGTGGCTACAAATTAAAACAAACGTTCACCTCTTCCTCAACTTTGGCCAGGTTCATAAAACCTTATTGAAATTTCCCAAAGCATTGAAACAACACACAGTCAGGAGTTTTTTGTTTTAACAGGCCCTTCTCTGTTGTTCTTTTCTTAATCTCCTCCTATTCACTCAGGAGGGACAACACTCCATTGTCTGTACAAGCCAACAGAAAGTCTGTTTAGTTCACCTCCATTGTCTCACTGTGCATCCACTGTGAGGACACGTTCAACAAACTGCAGGAAGCCCATTTGACTTTCATAGAACTGAAGGACGAGGAAAACTATTCGTGGATGCTTATCACGCACCTCAAACTTTATGTCAGATTTATGGAACATTAAGTTGATTTATCGTTATGGCAGGAAATGAATCATTAAATATAGTTTGAGTCATTTTTGAGAAAAACACACCATATATTTGCTAGTTTCACCCACTTAAATATCATCTTTTTTTCTATTTATCATTATAAATACAACATTGAGTTTATTAGACAAATGAAATACTTGAATCCGTCATCTTGTGCTCTGGGAAATGTTAATGAACACTTATACAGACAAACAAATTGATTAGAATTAGTATATTTGTCACAACAGCATACAAAACAGTAATTCTAAACATGTATTCCTATAATGCTCTGTCATACTCTCTCAAATGCATGGCTTTCAGCAGTAATTATTCTATTGTGTTGGGGGGGGAAAGCCCACAGTTTTAAAAGGAAAACTGTGGGTGATCCATGTATTGTATAGTTTGAATCACACCAGGCGAGAGTAAGGGTGAGATTGATTTACGACCCTCTGCCTCCCCATGTGTCTGCCATAGCAGGAGATAAGAGAGTCAAACTCTGACCTCCAAGTGTGGGGATTCAAGATAAGACTGAAATAGTGTCTGTATATCTCTCCTTTCTGCCAACAGCTCTTTCTCTACTCGTCAGACACCGTGTATGACATTTGAGCTAAACTCCAAATAATCTGTTCATGTCATTGTTGAACACCAAACAATCTATATTCAAAGTCTGACCATTCAAACTGCTGACCTTATTGTGTGGAACATCAGTAACAGCCTGACGCATTTACTCTCACATGTTTAGCTTTACCCTCACTAGAATTAAGAAAATATGACCTACAATATGACGATTACCTCAACGAACACTGACAGAACTGAACGTCTGGGTTTTTCTCATGATTTGTGTACTTGGTCTTCTTTGCGAATAATTTCACAGATTGTTCCTTTAAAGTGCCAACACTGATTACATATTGGTTGATAGTCCAATACGTATAGTTTTGGACCACACATCAGTTCATAGTTTTTAACAAAAATAAAAGCCTACTAAACAAATTCTAGCTTTGTGTTTTTCTTACATTGACGAGACTTAAACATTATAATTTCAATGGTTCAAATGTACTGTGAAGAACATTGACATTCATTTTTTTCCCCATAATCTTCCTTCTTTATAGAGTGCCACAGTGACGCATCCTAAAACCCGGAAGTAAGTTAGCATTTTACCACTTCCGGTTCCTTCGACAAAAACCAATGCAATTTCTCCATAGGATTTTGGAAAATAGCTCGAAATATATATATATATATATATATTTTTTTTATAATTTTCTAATCATAAATCGAATCGATAGATTTATGATTCAAAATTATAAAAGTAGGGTAGACATGTGGATATTATCCGGCTGAACAAAACGTGATCTGTCTCTTCAATGTGTGTCAACCACAGACCTTATTTCGAGCTATTTTCCAAAATCCTATGGAGAAATTGCGTTGCTTTTTTGTCGAAGGAACCGGAAGGAGTTTACTTCCGGGTTTTAGGACGCGTCACTGTGGCCCTTTATTAGGGATGGGTACCGAG